TGTTGAAATTGTCTGTTTATGCATCTATCTCCTCATTGCACAGAGCAGGCTATGCCTTTTCAACTACATGTCCGTGAAAACTAATACATAATCTATGTTCACTAAATAGTTATTGAATGAAAGAATGTCTATGAGTATAGATATACTCATTGGGGCAATGAATCAAGTACATGGCTTAGATCTTGGGTGAAGATGTGAGAGCATGTTATTGGATATAACAGGTAGATAATCTTTGGTCTAGATGTTACAAGGGTGCTACAGAAAATGTGCAAAACTCACTACTTTGAAATTGCCTTTACATTCAAACAAGGAGTCACCCAAACTGTGCTTAGATACCATCTATGAAAGAAAACTCAGTATCTTTTGAAAGAATTCACTTCAACTACACACAGCTCTTGTTGGCAAGTTATATGTATGCCATTCTCAAATCACTAACGTGATTTCTTCAGCATTATACCTTAGCTCTATACCTATATTTTTATTTGCCTACCAAATATTTCCACATGGATGTCCCAAAGGTACTCAACATACCTAAAGCAGAACTCATTAACTTTCTCCTTAAATTTTCACTTCTTGCATTTCCTTTTTCACCATCTGCTCAGACACTTGAAGTAAAACTGTCACTGTCACCTTCTTTTCTTTTTTCCCTGCCTCCTATTTGGCTGAACAGTATTGGTGAGACTAGGAAACAAGGAATTTAAAAATTAATGTGCTTTCTATAATATTGACAATTATCTTTAAGTTGCCTTCATAAAGTCATGGTCAATAGGAGTCCATACTACTTCCAAAATGAATCAAGAGGAATCCCCAGTTTTGAAAAATGAATATTGATTTTAAAAAACTCACAGTGAAGGGCTTAATCAGCTCAGTGTCGGACTCTTGACCTCAGCTCAGGTCTTGATCTCAGGGTCATGAGATCAAGCCCTGCTTTGGGGTCCATACTGGGTGTGAAGCCTACTTAAAAAAACAATAATAATAATAATATAATAACAAAATAAGTTAAATTAAAAAATTTAAAAACTCAAGGTGAGCTTAACAGTTAAAGAGTATTAGGGAAGAGTTTAGTTTTGATACTTTTATTGAATACAATAGTATAATCCTAATTATAATAATTTCACAATTCAAACCTTAAATCCTATAAGATGTCATAGATATTAGGTTCAGAGAAAATGATGGCAAACATTTATATTTGATAAGAAAGGCTTTTTTGGTGTTTTGAGCCTTCCTACTAAAGCCACAAATTACATTTTGTTTTGTGTTCTTCTCAGAATTCAGTAGAAATAAAAGACACAAAAAATGTCAAATCTAATTAAATCATGAACAAAAGAGCTTAGTAATAAAGGACAAATCATTTTAAGGAAATTTAGTAGATTTAATTTCTCCTTATTTCAATAAATATTTATTTTAGCATTATTAAATTTACTCCCCAAATTACTTAAAACCATCTCTGGTTATAAGTATTATCATAAGAATTGAAAATTGCCTGGAAATGGAATAATGTATGTCAATTAATTTCTTTGAGGAAGGTTTAGAATGAGTAACAAGGGGTATTTAATAATGGAACTCCTGAAAATATTTCTCCATTTAACCATCTTTCAACAATAACCAAACAGTTAGATCTGTGGGAAGGATATGAAATGTCCCCTGCATGACTTCCATTATCTGGTTTTATTTAGTATGCATATTAAGGAAATGAAGAAAAACTGAAATTTACAAATGACTTAGACTAACTCAACAAATAGAAGGCAAATAAAACTAGACAAAGAAAGGGATTCAAAGAGGTTAGTAATCAGAGTTTCAAGGGTGAGGAGGCATAAAGCTAACTGGGACCTTGCAGGGGAAAATTTCAAGAACATGCATTTAATTCAGGATCCTAGGTCTCTGACTTATAATAGTTTTAACTAAATTCTTTCTCAATTTCTTGGATATTTGAGGATGGGGAAGATGAGGAAGGAAAAGCAGTCTTCTACTTCTTCATTTTCAGTTTCTTACCCTAGAAATCTAAAGGTACTTTTCATCTCCCTAACATTTCGAAAGGCTGGAAAGGAGAGATTAATTGCTGAGAACCTTAGTTAGTATTCCAAAGGGGTACGTGATGCCACAAGACATCCTTAGCTTGAGAGGTCGGACCCCAAGGGGCCCTCATTCCAAGCTTTGGAAGAAGACCAAAAACTGTGTGTGCTGCCTCCCAAGCATGCCAAGTCCTTGGGTCAAACATTTCCAAATGTTCTATCAATTCCTTCTGTTTACAACCTCTAAATATAATTTCTTTCTCATCCTTTGACATTTGAAAATTATTAACTTTTCTTTAAGGCATTCAAGCCTGTAATTGAACTGTTTATCTCCCAACACATGAGATCCTAAAGCACCAGCCCCTTGCTTTCTAATTTAGTATTATGGACTCAAACGGTTTTGCTAAATTGTTTAAGGCAGGTAAAAAATATATGCTTTTCTTTTGAACTCCAAGCCACCAGCAATATTTGAGCTTTTTTTTTTTTAAGATTTTATCTTTAAGTAATCTCCATACCCAACATGGGGCTCGAACTCACGAGATCAAGAGTTGCAAGCCTTACCAACTGAGCCAGCCAGGCGCCCCTATTTGAGCCTTTTCTATGGTACCAGTGTTGTTTTATGTTACAAATATTTGTGTATTTGTTCACTGCATTGTAAACTTCTTTGAAGGAAGGAGCTATGCCTTATTCACTTTTGTGTCCCTCTGTCTCACACAGAATCTTGCCCATAGTAGGAATTCAAGCATGTAATACATGACTTATGTGATAGAGATAGGAATGTGGTAATATACGGAATGCTTCCCAAATCAAAAATACAATAAATATATTTAATTACAAATCAAAAATGTTAGCTATCTAAGTATTCTTGGCAACTCCTAACAAGAAATACTGAATCTAAACCCCTGAACATTTTTTGTTTCATCATATTCTTCTGAAATACTTTTTCCAGTTTATTTTCTATTATTCTTACCAGTCTATTGCTTTCTCTTTTGTACTGTTGCTTCTAATTTTGCTATCGTCCTGACCTCTTTCTGTGAGCATCTCTCAGGGCAGCACCTGTATAGCTCATACTATATGAGGCAGGGAAAAAGGTGAGTTGGGAGTTCTGTCTAGTAACATTCTGTGTATTTTTCCCGCTATCAAGCCTTCTTTAGACAAAAGTTATCAAAATACACTTCTTAAAGACTGATGGGGATTCTGTCAATAGAAGCAGCATGTTCATATTTAAGTTAGCCACATTTCTTTACTAAACGTCAAACCTGCTATGTCTGTCAATGACCTTCCATCACCTGCAAAATAAAAACTAGTGCTTTATTATGCTAAGTGAAATAAGTCAGTCAGAGAAAGACAGATATCATGTGTTTTCACTCATATGTGGAACTTGAGAAACTTAACAGAAGACCATGGGGGATGGGAAGGGGAAAAAAAAGTTACAGACAGGGAGGGAGGCAAACCATAAGAGACTCTTAAATACAGAGAACAAACTGAGGGTTGATGCAGGGGGTGCAGGGGAGAGGGGAAATGGGTGATAGGGATTGAGGAGGGCACTTGTTGGGATGAGCACTGGGTATTGTATGTAAGCAATGAATCACAGGAATCTACCCCCCAAATCAAGAGTACACTATATACACTGTATGTTAGCCAACTTGACAATAAATTATATTAAAAAAAAAAAGAAAAACTAGACCCGTTAGCATTATTTGGCTCTTCCCTAATTGTCCAATTTCTCTCCTACTTCTCCCCGCTTCCACTTTGTAGCTATCTACACCAAAATGATTGTGCCTAACATGTGGTTCCTTCTGCCTAGAATGTACCCTCTTTTGTTGCCTAGAGAATCCCTACTTGGCCTTCAAGATCCAGATTAGATGTCATCTCCTCTATTAATTCCCCTTTATCCCCTACACTAGACATAGGGTGAACCTCTCCCCCGTACCTGGACAGCTTCCGTTATGGTTTGATCACACTGCTCTCTGTTTTTATCACCATCTTCCCCCACTTACATGGATAAGTTAATTAGTCTTATTTTTGTTTATCTATACCTCCAGCTCATAGATAAGTCCAGTGATGTTTTTGAAGGGTGGGAAAGGACAACTCCTACCATTCACTAATAACTGCCTTGCCAAAAAAGTACTGCACATAATCTAGAAAAGAGACCCACCTATTCCTTCTTAGGAAGGACAAAACAAACCCAGTAATCAATAATACAGGATAGATCTTCCCCTTAGGCAAATGGATTTTTAAGAGTTGAATTTCTTATAAAAGACTAGATAGAAGTAAGTCAACAAGTACCAACATTCATTCTCTTCTTCTGAAAACAGATTGCAAATCACAGGAGGGAAATTGAAGAATTAGAAAATACTATTCATAAACTGGAAGAAGAAAACTTGGTGCTTATTGATCAACTATTCAACTGTAGACTTGTGGATCTCAAAATACCCAGGTGAAAGTCATTAGCATATCTAGAAAGTAGTTTGTCAATGTTTGTATCTGTAAAAAAGTTGTTATTTTTATTTATTTTTTAATGTTTATTTTATTTTTGAGAGAGAGACAGAGTGCAAGCAGGGGAGGGGCAGAGAGAGAGAGAGAGGGAGACACAGAACCTGAAGCAGGCTCCAGGCTCTGAGCTGTCAGCATAGAGCCTGCTGTGGGTCTCGAACCCATGAACCATGAGATCATGAGCTGAGCCAAAGCCATACATTTAACCAACTGAACCACCCAGGCACCCCCAAAAGTTATTATTTTTAAAAGATGATTTAATATTTGATACTCCAGCAAGATGACAATTGTTGAAAAGAAAAGAACTCACAAAACAGCCATGATGAAGGTGTAATATTATAATCGACCATTGGTACAGTGCAAACTGTGGCTTGCTTTTTCTAGCAATGCACTGTAGTCATAATAGCAAACACTTAACATGAATATCACAACTGCTGACCTTCAAAATCCTCCATGTCAGCAGGGAAGAGAGGCATAAAAATCAAAGCATACCTGTGAAGCAGAAGAAGTATGAGGTGTGGAGTTAGCACAACGAGGAAGTGATCAACTATGTGGTAACTTCCTGGAGGTCTTCTGGGCTTCTAGTTACCTTGTGGACTGTACAATTGTTTCCTTTAGTAGTTAGTGGAAGAGTCAAACTATCTTGTAAGCAGAGAAAATATTCCTGCACAAGAGAAACCAAATGTGTATTTTAGGTTCTTTTTCTTGCCTGACAAAAGAATTTTTAATACACCAGCCTTGAGGAAAATTAGGGCCCTGGAATATGGATTAAAACTCAAAGTGGTGATTATAATTTGGGCAGGTAGTCAGAAACAAGAAATAATCTAAATAGTAGCATGAGAAGGGAAAGAATCACACAAATGTAGGGTGTATATGTGTTCGATGGGAAACAAATGTCTAGGTCTAGGAATTAAAGCAGAGAAATTCAACGTGGTGGAAGGACCATGAAAAAATTTCTACCCAAATGGTTCCTGTGGCTTGTGTGGCATGGAAAAATACCATTTGTGACATAATCAGGTATTTTTTGTTTGCAAACTTCCTGATGTGTGGATACAGGTAAGTTGTGGAGGGTTTTGTTTACTGGGCTAAGTGATGGGCATCAGGATACAAGATTGGAGAAACTGGGAGATAGGGCAGTTGCGCTGCAGGCTGAAAGCTGGGCGGGGCAGGGTAGAAAAAGGGGCCCTCTGCTCCCTTCCACAATGTCCGTGTGATGCCCTGCAGAGGTAGACACCAATGCAGATGAGGCAGACAGTCAGGCCGAATGAATTGGCTGTTTCCTGGATGCTTGAATTCCCAGTCTCTTGAGCTGATGCTCTTGAGGGGTCCTCTGGGGAAGGGCCTCACTGTGCCCCATAATAAGCACACCCACTTGCCAGCTGTCTTCTGTCTGATCAGGTCTCCAGCTCCACTCTCCTGTCCCGCCTGCTGCTGCTGCCTTCTTAGCAGTCAGGTCTAATCTCCGCAGCCAGTGCTGGCTCTGTGGCTTAACAAGCACTGCTGTATCTGCCATCCACTGTCGTCTTTCCCTTAGGAAGGAGCTACCCTCCAAACAGATGACTCCACTTGCTGCTTTGATCAGCTCAGTCTGGCATATCTGATTTGGTGCTGCCATGGATGTGAATTACTAGTTACAACAAAGAGGAATTCCTTCACTGGCCAGAGAGAACTTGGCAGTGACAGGCAGGGAGAGGAGAAACTTTTAATGGAGATTCTCATTAAGTTGTTTGCTGTGTCCTATGCAATTTAACCCTATCCAGTTTAACCCCTAACCCCACAAAAATCTTCAGTAGAACTGGCAACGTTCATCAGTGCCTTGTGGGTTGATTTTCTTCATTGAGAGATATGAGTGTTTTGTCTTGCCTTAGAGTTGGGAGAGATGAATTCAAAATCTGACCAAGCAAAAAGAAACAGCATGGGCGACATTTATAAGAACTGGGTTAGGTACCCTGGTATATGCTTCCAAGGATGGTTTTCCTTCATAACCAGCATTTATCATACTCACGATTACTTATTTAATGTCTGCTTCCTTGCTAGATTGTAAATTGTCTGAGGCAAGTGTTTAGGACATTTTAGAAAGATCTGCATAAAGGAACAGAAATGTGTAAACCCTTCATTTCTGTTACACTACTTTTCCAGAAGGGTAACTCCAAGCATATTCAGCAGCTTTTACTGTAACCCATTTTCAAGTCAAAGAAATATAACACATATTGCATATTTTATGGCAACTTCCGTTTTCACCTATTTGTTGAGAACTCAGTCCTATATAATACTAGAAGGGGGTGAGAAGTAGACACAAACTGTGCCCAGAGGAAATAGAAAAAGTTGTTTTCCTATTTGGCTGAAAAATGGGGTATTCTAGCTAATAGAGTTACTACCTTTCCCATCCAATGCTCCCCAGACATTTTCCTTTCACAACTTACAAAGAACATCACAGTATTTGTTTAACACATGAGAGGAGGTAAATGTCCACCAGAGGTGACTTCCCAGGGACTCCAGTGCCACAGAACTAGACTAAGTGGACCAATACCTATATAATAGCATTGTTTAAATATTTTCTATATCATCAAGTGTTGCCCTATGATGGTATAAAAATGACAATAAATTAATGATTGAGACAGAATCCAGATTTATGAAGTTTATGACATTTAGTAAGATCATAATTATTCAAAAGGGTAAAACCACTTGGGCACCTGGGTGGCTCTGTCGGTTAAGCGACTGACTTCTGCTCAGGTCATGATCTCACGGTTAGTGAGTTCGGGCCCTGCATCAGGCTATCCGCATCCCCCCCTTCCCGTCCCCCATTCACACACTCTCACGTGTGTGCTCTCTCTAAAAAATAAGTAAACATTTTTTTTTAGGGGCACCTGGGTGGCTCAGTCGGTTAAACGTCAGACTTCAGCCTAGGTCATGATCTCGCCATTCCCGAGTTTGAGCCCTGCATAGTACTCTGTGCTGACAGGCTGGAGTATGTTTCAGATTCTTTCTCCCTCTTTCTCTCTCTGCCCCTCCCCAACTTGTGCTCTGTCTCTATCTCTCAAAAATAAACAAACATTAAAAATAAGTAAACATTTTTTTAAAAAAAGAAGTTTTATAAACATAAATATTGTATGTAGTTACATTATTTGCTTGAAACTTAAGCATTTTGAGTTCTTTAAATAATTGACAATCTGTAATCCAGGAGCTTCACCCTGACTGCTGAGCTGCTAAGCATGAGGGGTGGTTTGACTATCGACAAGAGTGCAATTCATGCTGTCTTCGGGAAAACTTCATGGAAAAGTTACATGGAGCTTTCCAGACATCGTATTTTCTGGTTGCAAGTTCAGTGGGCGCTGCAAAGCAGAGAACAGGATTAAACGCATGCCCAGAGAGCTTCAATAGCAGACATACAGCTCCCCAGGCTTGGAGCTGCAACATGGCACTTGGCGACAGACAGCACCTCGATGTCATCTGGGATTCTTGCTGCTTGTTGTCCTTCTCTTTCCCTCTCCATCTTAAAACCACTCATTCAGGCCACGGCTGTTGCTCACCTGGACTACTACAACAGCACCCTAACTGGTGCCAAGCTCACTTTCATTTCCAGAACATTAAGTGTGTCACTCTCTTATCACACAATGCCCTTCCTCACCCCAAACTCTTCCCTGGCAAATAGCCCCTGGTTCTTCAAGACTCCACTCAGGTCCCATCTCCTCCTGGAAACCTTCCCTTACCTCCTAAAAGCTCAACCAGGTGCGCCTTCTCTCTGTGCCATAGCACTTCTCACACTACCCCCATCACCCATCAGGGTACAGAACGTCACTCTAAAGTACTGTAAGTCCATCTGCCACCCCCTTGGGCCTCATGCTTCTCCAGGGGAGAAACTGTCTCAATTTTCATCTGTGTGTCTCCAAAACCTAGCAGAGACACAGACACCAGTGACCAGATGGTACAATGTTTGTTGACAGACTGCTTTTCTCATTTGTTCTTTTTAGGCGACTGTATCTTACTCAAGCTGCTGGACAGACAGTGACACCTGAAGTGCCTTTGGAGTTGCCAGAAACATTTAAAGGTATTATTTTATCGTAATGGTGACAGGTTGTTTTTTTTTTAATAACAACTACTTATTGAGCATCTATGACAGGTACCTCGTACCCAAGAGCTATTCATGGCATAGGTATGTGCCAGTTTCTCCATATTTCTCTTCTCCTTGCAGCACTTGTCCTAACCCACCTCCTTTCTCTAGTCCTGTTTTCAAATTCAAGTCACCACGTTTCACATGGTGTATGTAATTCAGTATTACATAAATACTGGTGGAGAGGGATGGAGTGCTGTCTATACTGGTGTATTTCTGGGTTCTAATTTAGCCAACCAACCAAAATAACAACACACACGAGTTACCATATGATTACCAAAACCTGTCAGCTAAGAGAATGGAATAAACTTGGAGGTTCTAAAAATGGGGCTCACTCTCACATTAATATATAGACTCTACATTCCTCAAAGATCTTTCAAATTAAAAATGTGACAAAGTGTATATTGCATTTTCATTTTTATCTGTCCCAAAATAACCAATCTCTTTGAATTTATCCCAGAAGAGTCAAAATTGCAATCTGTAGAAGTAAAAAGTGGAAACACGATGAGCTCCACAGCTGAGAGCTGTGCTTTATGTGTCACTCGTGAGGATGGGACCAGGTACAGCAAGGACCTGAAGACAGATGAGGAAAGTGACTCATGCACAGGGTTTGGGGCCTCTGATATGAAATACTTACTGTATGAGGATGATCAGGATTTCAAGGTAAGATTCATGCAAAAAAAAATTCTGACTACTAAGAGAATGCTGTTTTATTAAAGGAGAAAATTAACCTATAATACGGATATTGAAAATTTCTGTTTGCAATTATTAGTAAAATTGGCCCACCATTCACATCTCTCATTAGACACAATTTTCACTCCTACCCATGTGCAATTTGCTGTGTATATTCACTAATAGAGTTCCATTCCTAGTATACAATGTAAGTTATCTAATGCCATATAACAAATCATCTCCAAACTTAGTGGCTTGTAACTTCTGTGGCTTATAACTTCTTTCATAACTTCTGTTGGTTAGGAATTTGAGAAGGGCTCCACTGGACACTTCTCACTTGGGCCCTGAGGAGTTGCAGTCATATGTCAGCTGGGGCTACAGTCACCTGAAGGCTTGGCTAGAGTAGGAGGAGATCCACTTCCAAGGTGGCTCACTCACATGGCTGGCAAGTTGATGCTGGCCAAGCTGGGACCCTCAGTTCTTCATCACACGGGCCTCTCGTGGGGTGCCTTTATTGTCTCTTGGTTATGGTGTCAGGCTTCTCCCAGGACAAGCAATACCAGAGACCAAGGTAAGAGCCACAATATTTTGTATGACTTAGCCTTGGAAATCACACACCATCACTTCCATCATATTCTATTGGTTGACGTAGTTACAAAGCTCCACCCGAGGGGAGGGAATGTAGCTCCTGCATCTGAAAAGAGGAAGGAGCATCATATTCTAAGAAAAGCATGTGGGGGGTGCCTGGGTGGCTCAGTTGGTTGAGCATCTAACTTTGGCTCAGGTCATGATCTCACAATTCATGGGACCAAGCCCCACATCAGGTTTTGCGCTGACCATGCAGAGCCTGTTTTGGATTCTGTCTTCCTCTCTCTGACCCTCCTTCTCTCCCTCTCTCTCCTTTATATATATATATATATATATATATATATATATATATATATATAAAGAAATCATGTGGCTCTCTTCCACTGTAAACTCTTTTTTTTTTCCTTCCCCTCCCCCATGGGTTTCTGTTAAGTTTCTCAGGATCCACCTAAGAGTGAAAACATGGTATCTGTCTTTCTCTGTATGGCTTATTTTCACTTAGCATAACACTCTCCAGTTCCATCCATGTTTCTACAATACCCATGTTTTGGGTATTGAGGAGGGCACCTTTTGGGATGAGCACTGGGTGTTGTATGGAAACCAATTTGACAATAAACTTCATATATTGAAAAAATAAATAAATAAATAAATAAATAAATAAATAAATAAATAATAAAAGACAGAGATTGTCATAGTGGATCAAAAAACACAACCCAACTCTATGTTGTCCACAAAAATACACTTAAATATAAAGACCTGTATAAACTGAAAGCAAATGGATAGAGAAAATAGACCATAAAAAAAAAAGAAAGAAAGAAATCATGTGGGACAGGATACCTATTACTGCGGCCATCACTGGAAAGTACAAACCACCATATATACCATATTAGGTGAAATCTGGAGTATCATAGCTTTTTAATTTTAAAACCTTTTTGGTATATTCCAATTACTCCCACATCTATCCCTTGCTATCTTCCTTCTTGGTACTACTAATAACTTTAAAAGTCATC